AAAGTTTCAAAATTACAAGATATACCCAATATAAGAAACAGATTATTAAAATAAATTGTTTAGAGTAAGAACATGAGAAAAAATGGAATTTTCAGAAAAACAGAATAATTAATAGTGTTTCACTTTATATGTACATAAACAATTTTTGGTCACCTCTATTAAGTGTCAGTGACTTCATCTTGGGGTCTGTTGACTGGATACTGTGGACGTACAGGCCAAATGCAGCAAATCCCAGGGGTAGGACAATCATGAAGTATAGCTTTTGAATATCCCGGAACATGCGCAACACTCGTAACCTGAGAAGTGCTACTAATGTCTGCCAGTTGTTTGGATGCACTTCTGTTGAACTGAACCCTAGTCCAGTCACTGGATGATCATTTGTTTGGTTGATGACACCATCAATTTGTGTCTCCCCAGGTCCTATACCTGGAAGTTATAGTTGAACAATATGCATCTAGACTGCAACACACTTCAGTCTGATTATAATTATATGTGTACACATGTATAAAAATAAAAGCTTAAACAAAAAAGTGGTTTTATGCATTTTGTTTAAGCTTTTATTTTTCTAAACTGGTATAACAGCAAGCCACACATCATGTTGCAGTATTTGGAAGCAATCAGTTTTATGTATATTCTGTCCTGCATTATTTTGTGTTATATGATATGATGTGATATTCTATAATATTGTTTTTTTTATATAAGTATGTACACATGTGCAAATGAGCCGGGATAGCTCAGTCAGTATAGTGACTAGCTATGGGCTGAACAACCGGTGTTCGATCCCCGACGGGGGCAGAGGATTTTTCCTCTAGTCTCTGCGTCTAGACCGGCTCTGCGGCCCACCCAGCCTCCTCTACAATGGGTACCGGGGGTCCTTTTCCGGGGGTAAAGCCGGCCGGGGCGTGATGCTGACCACTCACCCCCATCTAGTGCCGAGGTCAAGAAAGGGAGGAGCTATACCTCCTCTCACCCCAAGCGCCTACTTGGCACATAGCGGGACAAACTTTACTTTTACACATGTATACATACTTATATTAAAAAACACAAAATTATAGAATATCACATCATATAACACAAAATAATGCAGGACAGAATATACATTAAACTGATTGCTTCCAAATAATGCAACACGATGTGTGGCTTGCTGTTATACCAATTTAGAAAAATAAAAGCTTAAACAAAATGCGTAAAACCACTGCTTGACTCCATGGAGCTGAATCCTTGAGAAACTAATAACACTGGTCAACAATGTTTCGGTAACATGGATGAAAATATGTGTTTCATATTGTATTTTTGCGCTAGATTCAAATATGGCCTTCAAAATTTTCCATCACGTACCATTTTTGTGTTATTTTGTCTTAACGTCTACCAAATGAGTGAATTTCTTGAGTCCATAGGGATATTTTTTGCAGGTTGGCTACTCTGACAGTCTCCCATAACCTCACTTTAAGTGTGAGTTTTGACGTTTAAGCACATGGTTTCATTGTTTTGTTTCGTTGGTGTTCAAAATGCAGAATTCCTGTCGCCGTTCTTGTGTTAATTCGCCAGATAAGTTTTGTTACGTGTGTGGACAGTTTATTATCAAGTCTCAGTGCCGTTCAATGACAAAACCATTCAAAACTGCATATTATTATTACTTTAGTTGTCATGTCGGTGATCAGGACAAGAAGTGGGCTCCACACGTATGTTGTATGTTGAATGGTTAAAAGGAAACAAGTGCATGCAGTTCACTGTTCCAATGATTTGGTGCGAACCTACAAGTCACCTGGAAGACTTATTTTTGTCTGAACAAAACAGGAGGCTTTTCCGAGAAGAAGAAAGGTAAGATAGAATATCCAAATGTGCCATCAGCTCTTCGGTCAGTTACACATGGTGAAAACTTACCAGTACCTAAGCCACCATCTGAATGGAAGAATGCACCAGATAACGATGATGAGAGCTCTGACAAAAGGGAAACTGTAGAAACTGTAGTCTCTGATCCTACATACAATCCTGAGGCTCACAGTGAGCTGAAAGTGCTAGAGTTTCTGTATTTAGGAAAACTACCAGCTTTTAGTGGAGAACATTTTGCAAAATTACAAGAATTTGGGATGTAGAATGTCATTGAAGATCCATTTTCTTCATTCACACCTGGACTTCTTCCCAGGGAACTTGGGCGACGTAAGTGATGAGCAAGGGGAGAGATTCCACCAAGATATTCAGACTATGGAAGAACGCTACCAGGGGAGGTGGGACCCAGCTATGATGGGAGACTATTGCTGGTTTTTGCAGAAGGAAGACACTACACCGCACAAAAGAAAGAAAAAATAGACTCGCAGCAGACTTTTTGTCTTTTGCTCTCATTTTTGTGTGTAAAATTTCACTTAAATTTTTTTAATGATTTCATATTTGTTTTCAACTATGTTTTTATTGTTTACTCAACCCAGATGAATAGATTAAGGATTAAACTTTGTAAATAAACCCATAAAAATGACATTAGTAGTAGGCTAGACTTTGAACTGTATATGGAAACGAGAAAAAGTAAAAGTTATGGTATCAAAGAAATCTTACGTTTTAGGTGTTTTTCAAGGTCATATTTGAAATTAGCGCCCCCAAATTAGTAAAGAACACTGAAAATTGTCCATGTTACTGGAAGAAAGTGAAAAATTGTTGCCCTGTGTAATCATTCACCTAGTCAAAAAATGTTCTTCCTGTGGAACCAAACAGCTCAATATTATGTTCACAGGAGTCTGACACCGAAAACTATCCTGAGCCAGATGGATCCAGTTTGCGAATCTCATGCACTACTTCTTTTTGAGAGCCACCTTAATGTTATCCTCCCATCTATACCTAGGTTTGTTCCATTCACTTTTTCAGACTGAAATGTTGTATGTATTTCTTTATGTCCTACATGCCCCCACCCATCTCATTCTGTTTGATTTGATCTCCCTAATACTTTGTGAAATATATGTATTATAAAAGCTCCTTGTTGTATAATTTTCTTCTGTCACTACCTCTTACTTACAACCAAATACTTTCCTCAAGTCTGTTCTCACACACCCTCAATTCCAGCCTTTGGGTCTGAGACAAAGTTTCACACTGCCACACAATTTAAGTTGTAATTTCAGTTGTCAGGACCAAAGTACTTTGTTATGATCTTCAGTCTACATTATACTTCCCTCCAGTTCTCAACATTTATCAAACAATTATTGTCAGACTCAGAGCAAGTGCATTCAAATAATGCTAATATTCAAATAAATTAAACTGTAAAGGCAGCACATATGTACTAATAAAATGGTGGGGGTTGTGCCATTCCGTTCTTAATAGAATCCTCTTTAGAAACCAACCAGTGTTCCTACTGATACTTATGAATACCACAGAGGAAGACATCAAAACAATGAACAAAATTTGATGTAGGCTTGAAACCTGCCTCTACCTTTCCCGGGCACATCTCCTGCAGGCCCCATGGTAGTTGTGATGACTGCACCTTCATTCTGGAGACTCTGGTATGATGTGCTCTTACTCTGAAGGGACAGAGAGCGGCTCAATGCACGATTACGCACCATCTTCTTTGACAGGTTGTCCATTGTTCCATCTGTCTCTTCATCCCGTTCCAAATGAAGAAAAACCTGTAAGAATCACCAGACTTGAAGTGAATGACAAGAAAATGCTACTAAGTAATCAGGTCTGACACATGGGAGCTTCCATATTACAGAAAAATAATTATCTTTAACTTAAAATCAAGTTCTTATCAGAAAGATTATTGCAGACTGATACAGCAATTAAGGGAATGCTAAAACTGAATGGAAGGATGCTTTTGAAGGAATTTATTTTCTGTTTTCTCACTTCATTAAATATTAAATATACAACATACGAACATTGTCTCTTGGTAGTCCTATAATAAGCTAAGATAAATGACCTGGATAGTATTAAATTCATAAGGTTCTGTGTATTGTTTCGCACCTCTTCTAATGTCGTCATGGAAACACCGTAACTGCTTATACCCAAACGGCTTGCCCTGGTGTTGATCTCATTTTCAATTGCTGAGAAGAGTGGTGCAAAGTTGTCTACAGCATTGTGTGGCAAGATGAAGCTAAGTTCTCTCCCATGCCGGCGAGCCTTCTCTGCTTTAGCAACATGACTACTCACAAGACGTGTGATAGCATGTTCCCTAGCTACACCCTCCAGTACAAGTCTGTAATAAAGTAAGGTGCTTTCAACAAATCTTCTCAGCCACTGGTACACATAAGTAATGTCAGAAACAAGGGGACAAAGGAAAGCAGGAGCTTGTCAGTCACAAAATTGAATTCAAATATTCTTTTATAGATAGGCATATTTGGGTCCTTAAATCAAGGAGATTAAAGTGACTTGCATATACAGAACTATAACTGGACAGCAGCTCACTACGTCTTTATATATTGATGTTTTCAACATGTCTGGAAAAAATTATGCCAGGCTTTGTTACTAGCATCTCTCACATAATTTCACTGATTCACTTTCTACAGCTATTTTGTTCAATACAGTAATAATTGTTCCTTAAACATCTACATTTCAATTACTTTCATTATGAAACCTCCAATAACAATATTGTAACAGATAACTTATTCCAAAAGACAAAATTTACAAGCCTCACTCTGCAAGTCCACATATTACATACATGTTGCTGTAGTGAATGCACTACTTCTAAATACAGATCATAAGAACTCTCAAAAATATCTTACAGATATATGAGTACTTACGTTAGATGATAACCAATGCCAAATTTGTTTTTTAAAAACAGCGAAGAACCACAACACCGAAGGCGACCTCTTGAAACCACAGCCTTGCGATCTGCAAGAATGTCTGCTTCATCCATAAAATGAGTTGTAAGCAGAATTACCTGAAATTGATTATCAAGTCTTAAAGTGAAGGAGTTCAGAAATTATTGGTATAAACATAATAACGCAAATTACCTCGGTCATCAATAGTGGCTACTTAAAGCATTTGAAATAGCCCATTTTTATTTTGTATTCATGCATTAGGCAATGCATTACCAGCCTCAGAATTCTCTTTCCAGTGTCTTCTTGGACTGCTGCTTACATTTCACTCTACAGGTTTATACATAGAGCATTTGAAAATGAATGGCAGCTTTGTATTAGGAAACAGCTTTTGTTTGTATGAGAGACTGAACTGTGCTGCATAAGTCAGCCTACTGCAATACAGTAATGTGGAGCATTAGATGTCATGTTAAACTGCCCAAAAATGCTGTTCAGAAACCAAAAGCACCATTGCTTCATCAAAATTCAGGTTGTTCAAGGCAAAATGCATATCACTGTCTCAAAGGATTTCAGAAGATCCTGTGGATTAGAAACTTTGTCATACCACACCATGGCAAGATGAGTGCATACATTTAAAGTTAGATAGTCGGAAAATACACACGCACACACACCTTGCCATAGCATAGTATGACAGAGCTTCTTGTCTGCAGGTTTCTTATAATTGTTTGTGACACTGATGCATGTTTCACCTTTTGCAACCTGGATAATGATGAAGCAATGCTGCTCATGCTTAGTGAATATGTTTTTAGGACAATTTCTTATAACTCCTAATGCTTCATACTGTATACTTAACACTGAGTGTACACTCACAGAAACAAGCTGACAAAATACAATTTAATTTAGTCTCTCACATAAAAGTTGTTTC